AGTTAATAAAATATTGATATTTAAGTAAAATTTCTCTCTGCATGTCTTTTTCAGCACTTTTCAATATTTACTCTTAGAGCAGACATATACATATACATACATATGTATGTTCGTTCCTCCTATTTTTGATTTAATACGTCGCTTTCATTCTTCATTATTGTGTAGAAGAGGATGTCATAAAGAATTTTTAACAATGTTAAGAATCAAGTTTTAGCTTACACTCCTATTGCTATTTTTTCATGTGCAAATGTTTATTGTAACTAGGTATTTACATGATATAGTCGAATAAACTCATAGGTATGTTTATCCAAAACAGCAATTCATAGGGTGAAAAGGTCAATGGACTATTGAAGAAGTTCGTACATACATGTGTACATATACATRTATACTTTTAGAAGTAGGGTGCTAAATAATTCCATAAAATTTTAATTTTTTCAATTTTCTTTGCATATAAACTTGTAATAGTTATATTAACAAAAAAATTTTAAGAAGTTTTATGTTCTTAAAAAGTTTGTATTAAATATGGTTTACAGCAAAAATAGCACTCGCAAATATGGAGTGAGAGAATCAAGTGCCTTCGTATGTGCGTGGCTGAGACAAAATTGATCACTTAATCGTCTTGCAGCCGTTGCAACCGAGATGCTTTTAATTTGTCAAAGCGGCTGCCGCGAGTGCTGCATATTTAGCTTCATGTACATCGTCAAAATGCATGTGCCGATTAGGCGAAAAGGGAATTTCGCGAATTTCCAGTAGCATGCGTTCACATCTATACGTACAGACATACATTTATGGCAGAGAGAAAAGCATGTGTGTGTTGTGATGAAAATGAAAAATGCATTCAAAATTTCAATTACCACTGCACCCTAATTCTCTCTACCCAGACACAATTTGCAGATTATTTTCTTTATTTACTGGGAATGTTGAAAGAAAATTAAAACAGTTTTATTATATTTATATATGTAAATACCAGAAGAACTCTCCGGGTTTTGTTGTGGATATGTTAACTTTAAATATTATTATAAATAACTATTTAATACAGAGCAAATATTATTTAAAAATAAAGACAAAACAATAAATTATCAATGCAATAGTTATGTCAAACATCACAATTTAATCAATTGTGCAGAATTGTTGTATAGAAAAGACAATTAAGTACTCAATGACGTTAGYTAAATAATATCCCCTCATAAAGTACATTAATTCTAACGGGTTCATGAGTACGGTATTATCGCACTTTTGTAAATAATAAGTTAGGATAAGAAGTAACCATTTGATAATAAGAAGTGTGAATTGCAGCAATATTCGGCAGGGTGAATATACTAATTTCAACTCTACTCATACATATACGAGTATATTTGATGATTTGTGTGTATGTGACTATAAATCAAAACTCGAAAACATGACGGTACATAGTATGTAGATAAATTCATATGTATGTATGTTTAGCTTTTAGCGATGCGAAAACTTTTCATTTTAGCAAGGTGCTATTTTTTAAAGATTGAATAACAGGTTTGCAGCAATATAAAATACGCGGAATGCGTGTGTATGTCCTCTTATGGAATTAAAATTAAACTTCACCTCAACATCACCGTAGAGCCTTCTCATAATGGGCCCTTTCATAACACATTCTCTCAATGCTCACAACTTTCATTACTCCTAAGCTTTTAATTAAGATATTGACATGGTTATACTTACATAAGTATGTATGTATGTATGTATGTATACATATGCATCTCATGTCAACATACTTATATGCAAATACATATGTACATATATTAATKACTTACATATATGTGGATAAGGAACTACATTAACAATATTAATAGAGTGATAAATAATATTTGTTACTAAATTCACAGAGGGTCACAAAAGGTCACAGGTTAGGAAAAGTGGGATAGGCTCAACCCACTACTGTGGTACTGATATGAGCTACCAAAATTTTACTATCAAATTTGTGATCATAAAAAGTACATTGAGATTATATCTCATACTAATGTAGATCAATTTCACTTGCAGACGACATATTTGTGTACAGCAACGCACCATCACAATGCCCGTAAAAACAACCGAAGTCTATACAAGACCGATCTGGAAACATATCAACACGCCTTGCAGCGCAGTTCAAGTGCAGATGAAACATCCAAATCAGATGTGTACCAGAGTTCAGCTAGTCCATGAGCAGGCTTTTCGCGATGTCATTCGCCATATGGCATCGCAACAAGTTACATACGACTGCTGTAGCGGTTGGGCACGCGAATTTCCAAATTCAGATTCTTGCTCAAAGCGTAAGCGGTTGCCTTGTAATATATACATACATTTACATAGATACATATGGTATATGATAGATTAGAATGTTCATATTTAAAACAAAATAATTAATTTAGCCGTGTGTGTTTGAAGTTCGTAATGTTCCAAAATATTCAAAGGCTAAAGATACGTGATATACATATGTACATAGGTATGTATGTATATGTAATAAAATAAGATTGTGTTGATATCCAGTCCTAAGTTCTCACTGCTTGGATGTGCTCGAGTATAGCTCTTTTTTATATGACCTGTTCTATTTTGTGCATTATTTTCAAGTTGTAATCTGTAATTTTTCTTTAACAGCTATTTGTAGCACTGGGTGCCAAAATGGTGGCTCTTGTACCGAACCTGACACGTGCACTTGCCCCGCAGGATTTAAGGGGAAATATTGTGAACACGACATAAATGAATGTAAGGAAGAGAAGCCATGCGACCAGACCTGTGTCAACACAATTGGCTCATACTTTTGTGAATGCCGCAAAGGTTTCGTTTTACAATTGGATCAGCAAAGTTGCAAGAAAATCGGTAAGTTGTATGCCTAAATAGAGAAATATGTATACAACAGATATCTTGTACAGGTTTGCAAGATGATGATGCTTTTGAAGCACGTGATTTGGAAAATGAAATCGAGTCAAGTGATAAGGATGTTAGTGCTCGTCTTCAGAAAATTGAGCGCTCCTTAGCAAATGAGAGGGTACATACAAATGAGTTGCAGAAATCACTTCAAGCTGCTCACAGTGTTGTTGATACCTTAAAGAGTCGCCTAAGTACTATAGTAAGTGTACTGCAACAGTATTAAAATATTTTTCATTTTTAGATGTTGTTCTGTTTCATGTGTTTATATACTATATACATACATCTAGATAACGTATTTTTTTTTAACAATTTCAAATCCAGGAAAAGCAGCAGCAGGACATAAGCCGGTTACARTCAAATCTGTACCAAACAGAGACCCGGACTAACAGGCTTGAGAGCATGCTAAATCTATTAATGAAGTGCCGAAATGGACCTAACGCCAATTGTCCTTAGGAATCAAAGAACTAGACTGTATACATATGTAATTAAGTTAGCTCTAGCTTATTTTAATGATTTTCTATTAAAAATGTGAAAAAGTTKCTCTCCTAAATAATTTACATAGTTTTGTCAATTATCAATTTTTGACTTCATATGCATGGGACTTCAACCTATGATTCTTTAATAAATAATACATAAGTGTGGGAGAATATTTGTAAATAAGTATCTAAATGAAAGCTTGTATGATTGTAATATGTACATAAATAAGTAAACTTGCCATTTACAAATGACCAAATTGACAAATACTCGTGTATCCAAAAAACGATGGTTTAACGAACACTATTGCATTTACTGACAATAAATAGTATACATACATATAAATRAAAAACTGAACTATGCGAAAAATACACGGTATTCTTTTTGTTTTGTTTAGTACCATATTTTGATCAAGAAGCCTTCCTCTTTTTGCGAAATAATCGTATGTTACAAAAATAAAATTTTACAGGACACCTTTTTTTTTTTTTGCTTTTTTCCAATCTGTATAGGGGCAATGCTTCTGAAGTTTATATGTACAACAATAGTCAACCAACGGAAGTGAGCCCCCTTCTATTGAAATGATTTGTTATTCATTCGAATGCAAGAAAGAAATTTTACCATTAGTGAATTGATGCTAAAAGATAAGGCCCTAACCGACCGATGGATCAAAATAACAAAACTATATTAGAGAAATAGTTTGCAATAACAGCAAAATAAGCTGATTTGCTTTGATCAAAGAGAAATTCAACTGTGAAAGTTGTTGTTACGCTCGTATTCTATGTATTACCTACCACTTGGGATCGAGTCAGCCAAGAAACTCCTGCTCATAGCTGAGAAAATTTTAATGATAACTGAGTAGTATATATATAGTATATACTTTCCATTAAGTATCCTGAAAACAAAATGGTATGCCGAAATAAACTCTTTCATGTAAAAATCAATTATTCTTATTTAGGACTTAAGTCAGGTACATACCATACGACATAACTAGAACTTTTTTTGTTTTTAAGCAAATGAATAGAGTGGCGACGACGCTTTAAAAAACATCCACAGGTATGTTTACATCTGCGATGAAAACATCTATACTCTTTAGAGAGGGTCACTCATTATCGATTGCCCGATTGACTCTGGCATACATACATATGTAGCCTTGTGTATGGAACCTCGCCCCTACCCCAAATGCTGTATATCAGCGATCTCTGGATAAATTGCGGTAATGCAGAAGGGGAAGGGATGACCAGTTTGTGACTTCTTCCTTCTAATTTTCTCAATAGTGCTATTTCCTTCATAGCCTGTAAAAAAAAATTAATAAAAAAAAGGTATGCCAGAATAAAAATGCTGACTATTCCTTGGCAAAGTGTTGAAAGATGAGAATTGACCAATATTTGAMTTGGTTACTTTTTATTAAACGTACTCATCAGAGATAATGTACTCATGCATGCAACGAAATGCTCTGACGAAACAAATGTCTGACGGAAAATGATGCAAAGGTTCTATGAGAATCAGCCATTAAGCTTATACTTAAAACGTATATTCAACAGAGTGGTATTCTTGATAACATTTTTTATACTAATTGATATCAACCCTGCATAGCGAAAAATGRAATGAAAACAAAATTGCAATACAAAAGAAAATAATTTTGACTTTATTTGTCATATCAAAAATACTATAATACCAAATTCACTATTGAAGTTTAAAATCAATTCGAATTATTATATTACTATATCCGCGAACGCCATATTATGTTATAGCTTCTCTCAGAGTTCTGATAGTTATAAACAATGGCTTTAAACGAAAAAATACCTTTAAAACAGGCGGAAGTCTCCGTTCGACGTTTTAATGACCTCGCCATTCCACATCATTTGAGTCTCCTGAAAAATCATCGCAGCAATATCGAAAAAAGCCTAGCTTTGGGTGATTGGAATAAAATTAAGAAAGAGGAAATTAATGCAACACGTGTAATTAAACAAATTAAGAATCTGTTAATTGAGATGGATGCTCTACGAGAAAGGGTCCGTTCTGAAGATTTAGAACGTTTTGATATAATGATGGAAGATGGTAAAAGCAAAGCTTTCCAAGGCATGAGTGAATATTTAGGTAAGCTAAATATAGCTAAAGTAATATAATATTCTATATTATTCTTAATCATACCACTGAAATTTCATTAAAGAGCTGAAGTTAAAAGCACCGTCATATAATAAATACTCGGGCTTATTGGAAAATTATGAAGAGGAAGAAACTCCCCCTCCAGCAGAAATAGGACTAACCACAGCACATCGTCAAGTAATTCCTCCGATAGAAACAAAGTATGAACAGCAAGAATATCAATTGCAACAGAGACAAGCTTGCTTGGATGAACTAGAAGAGTTGCAAAACGAGATCCGGGATCTTAATGGAATGTATCTTAATATGCATCAATTGGTCCAAGAACAAGGAAATGATGTACGAATCATTGCTGATAACGCCGAAGAAGCCCTTGAAAATGTGCAAATTGGCGAGAGTAATTTGCGCAAAGCTCTTACGTACAAAAAAGCAATGTATCCAGTGGTTGGCGCATTGATAGGCACTTGCGTAGGTGGCCCTATTGGTTTGGTAGCCGGTTTGAAAGCAGGTGGTCTGGCCGCTGTGGGCTGTGGAATTCTTGGATTCACAGGTGGTTCCGTTTTGAAGAGCAACCCATCAATAAATCCCACAGTTATGCAAGGTAATATTGAAGAAGAAAGTTCACAAGAGCCTATGGAAATGGAAAGAAAGGATGAATGACCCTTAGCGTCGGAAAAACAAAGTAAGAAATACACAAAAGAGGGTTGCACCCAATTGGCATTACACGTGGACACCAATGGACAATTAGATTCTGTAGCGCAAACTACAACAGGTGTGATATGTAGAGTACGTAGTTACTGTTCTATACAATGAAGACTTATTTATTTATATATGTATGCGAATTGTTTTTTTTACATTATAAAACTTTAATAGTTTATTTAATATGTACCAAAATAAAGCCCATATGTTAAAGTAACAAGGGTTCAAGCTTTCACCGTGGATTTAATATGTAATTTATTTCTGAAAACTTTGTTTTTTATATTCAAAAAGTTCTATATATCCATAAATACATACTTCCTGTGAAATTAAAAATACATATATATATATATTATACCATACTCTATGAACTAGAAAAGAATAATTATTTCACAACGGAACATTCGCAGTTGTCCAAGTCTGCTTAAAACGTTTTTTCATCGCGTGCGCCTTCTTTCGTATCCGTTTAGCTGTTTTCTTTGGTTTATACCATGGCGGGTATGAACCGTGCTGATCTTTCATAGTTTTACTATTGTAAACATGGACTTTTCCAGTATTCTCGTTAACTTCTGTAAAGTTTTTACCTGGCTCTCGTCGCTCCTCCATCTCATGCTCCAATTCTTGTTCTTCACGAGATTTTTTCTCCTGAAAATTATAAACAAACATTACTGGAATACATTTCTTGAGGTTCGGTTTACTATCTCGTATTACTAGTTTTAATTCTTTTCCTGTTTTTACTGTGGCTACATCTGACATATCTTTCATAACTTCATTTCCTTCAGCGTCTATAAGGCCCAATGTTTTTTTTAATCGAATGAGTTCCTTTGCTTCGTAACGCGCTTTTTTGATCTTATTCATTTCATCGCGACGTTTACGGGAACGGTTTGTACGACCCATATTTGGCAAATAGCAAATTGTTTAATTATTTTAAAGGAATTGTAAACCGAATATCCCAACATAAACACGTGTGTGCATTATATTCGCAAGGATCGTATATAATATATTTTTGACATTCTCTCTTATATGTCAGATCAAACGTTGAATRAAAAAGAACGTCAATCCTATCAGAGATGCCAAGTTTTCATTACAAACACACTAAATTATTTATCTGCCCTTGACACCAACATAGCTGTTGAAAAATTAATTAATTTCTAAAACAAAAATATGAATGAATATTGTAAAAATGTATCTATTTCAAGTTTTATATAATCAAATATTAATAACGAAACATGATGGTATAACTTGTATAATAATGATCTGATTCGAGTTTCCTGCGCCACAGTTCACTTGTGGATCGATTCCTCTTCGATTGACATTTGGTGTGGAATTTTATCCACAAAATAGAACATTGAAAGTAAGTAAAAAAATAAATAAAGTGAATCCTTTAGCCTGGAAGTTATATGAAGAATATTTTGCAGGCAACAATATTTTGAATAGTGTTAATGAATTAACTCGGATATAGTCTTTTTAAGACAATAAAATGGTACTTCGTTCGGGTATAATAATTCCTTTTCAGTTCCGTGACAGTAAGAAACTTCTAATGATTGGAGTGCCTGAAGAAAACCGCAATTTGAACATCTGGGACTTGAGAAATGTTGGTATGAAAAATGATTTGTTGATCATGTAAAAGAGGGTACATAAGGAAACATTTACCATAATTCCTATATAAATAAATGTACTTCTAAAGAAATATTAATCACATAATATAATAAATCTATTTTAGTGAGAGCAGCATTTGGAATTTATAACTTTGAGTTTCGAAATAAAAAGATTGGATTCAACATACCGGATGAGCTGCTTTTGCATTATTTGGCGCAATGCCATGATCTAACCAATTTCGTTATAGAAATTGGACAAGGTGAGTAATAGCATCAGTGAATCCCAAAATTATTGCAATATATTGTGGTATGAGTATTAAGACGATTGATATCACTAATGTACAAATTTGTTAGGTTTAACATATACTATATTAAGATAGCGACATCTAAAATTTTAGGAGCTAAAGGTTTATAAACCGATATGTGCTGCCCAAAACAAACATTTACATAATTGTAGTTCGTTTGATTGCTTTGAGGTAGCACAAAAACTGTTCCAAAAATATTAATCCTTTCTGGTTGCGTAGAGGAGACTGTCGTGAGATTAATTTTAGAATCCATTATGATTATGTTAAGTAAGAAATAAATATATATGCGTATGTATGGAAAAACGATAAATTATAATTTTTTAGAAATGTTCAGTTTCAACTAAATAATCATAAAAACTTCACGCTCACCGTACTGCACTTGCCTCTAGTAAGTTCGTAAACATGTTTACATTAAATCTAGTATCGTTAATATGCTCTTTTTCCAGGTAATCTAAATGACATACCAGATAATGGCATCGCTGACTCGTCTTCTGCAGAGAACTTTATTTCTACAGACATTTCCTTACAATTACATGAAAATATAAACCTTGTAGAAGCTCGGAAAACAAAATATGGAGATCCCTTTGGTAGTAAAGATACTAAATGTACAGAAGAACTACCTATTTTCGATGGGCGAAAATTTTTTACAAGTGCTTCCGAATCCCCTAATAAAGAGACTGCTTTCCAAGGTTTTTCGGACCAAACTGAAGAATCTAAATTGCTGGTTATTACTAACGAGCAAAAAATTACAAGATCCGACCCTAGTGACTATGAAATCGAAAAAACACGGACACTAAAGAAGCAATTGTTTGAAATCGATCATTTACAAAATCAGCAAAACCAAGAACTTCATTTGTTTGGCCCAGGACATCTTTTTGAAAATAGAGCCATCACTGACACCCACTTTAAGAAAATTAATTACCAGCAACATCAGTTTGCTTCATGTTCAATGAACCGCTTTCGAAGTATGTAATTTTATTGGTATTGTACTAAGGAATTAATTCGATTATAATTCTTTAAACAGGGAGAGGAGAGAGAATGTCTAAAGACCAAAAGGAAATGTATGTTAAATATTTCGAAGAAAACCCATGCATGCAGTCTCAACGACGCAACGATTCTTTATTAGAATCCCATTGGAATAAATTGACTTCAATCTTAAACAATATACCACAAGGAGCGGTAAAAAATGTGGATGAATGGAAACAAACATTTGATGCTTGGCGGTACAGAGTTTTTATGTACTATCGCTACAATTACAAACTGTCTGGTTCTGTAACGCACAATATAAAAAATTTCAAACCACTAACATCCACCGATCAGCGAGCGTATTCAATGTGGACTAGTTATAAAACCACACCTCCGCAACAATCAGATTAGCTGGACATATTCCGCAAACTGGAAATTGAACAATCTAAATACACTTATTGAATACCAAAGCAATCTATACACCCATAATGTACAATGTCATAATTTATAAATATAAAAATTCTAAAAAACATAAAAACTCGACTATATATTTTGGTGGTGTACATGTATATTCTGTGAACTAAGTTTTAAATATTGTATATACATACATTTTATTCTTCTATATACAATGCAGTTTATGATCCTTGCAAAGAAAACTTCACTACAATTGGGAGTTGTTCGACATGCCATTGTTCAGCGGCACAAAAGTCGTCTATGGATTTACATGATAACGCAGACACTCCCATTTACCATACAACAGTTGGTGGTCGTTCTAATGCCAGCGGAACAAGTTCACAAAACTCGCAGAATGCTGATGAAATTCCCACAATGAAAATTCGCATGCAGCATTCAAATATACCCGCTGGTGAAATAAGTCATATGGAAATAGAGCCGAAAATTGACTATGACTCGACAATTAATACGACCGGTTCCAACACTGAGGTGGACGGCTCTTCACCTCCCCCGTTACCGGTCCACTCAAAATCCAGTGTCTATATTGATGAAGAACATCATCAACAGCAGCAACAAGAATTACACTTGGAGCGTTTACAACATGAATATGCAATGCAACACCACCAACAACAACAACATTTCGAGGCTTTGATGCAAGAAAACACCACAGGAAATAGCTTTAGGCGTAAGTGTTAAGCACAAAAATATATAATAAATAATTTGGTTGTGCAATATAATATTATGCTTTTAGAACGAAAGGAACGTATGTCGAAAAAACAAAAAGAAATATACGTTAACTTTATGGAGCAAAATCCCGTCATTAACGAACACCGCCGTAGTGATCCTATTTTGGATCAATATTGGGTAAAATTAGCAGATATTCTTAACACAGTGCCACAAGGGGCAGTAAAACATGTAGCAGAATGGAAACAGGTACAAAAAAAATTATTAATATATGGGCCTATGTCATTTTGTGATTAGTGTTATTTTTTCTATTCGTTAGACTTTCGATAATTGGCGTTATCGTGTGTTTTTGTACGCTCGATACAATTCAAAAATCACAGGTACAGATGCCTTAAATCCAAAAAGCTTCAAGCCCTTCACACAAACAGATAAGCGCGCTTATCACTTTTGGATAAGAAACCCTGATACGGCTCCACCTGATTTGGAAAAAATGCGAAATGTGTTCGTGAATCTAGAGGACACTCAACAAGAATAGTTAGGTAGCAATATAAATAAATTATAGAATTGCTAGCATAATTGATAATCCTACTTTTCAATAAAGCTTATAATTTTTGTCATAGAAATATAGCAAACATATATGTACATATATAAGTTCATTGTGTAATAGCTTAACGACAATATCAATACATATGTATATAAATGAAAACGTGTTGAGTATTGAATTTCTTAACAAAATATATTAATTTTAAACACGAGCACGGTACGGCTGCCTTTGATCACTACAAAAATGAAGAACTGGGAAATTTCATATTGTTTAACCTTAATTGACTCAATTTAGGGTCGTATTCTTATTTTCCGGTTAGCAGTCATCTGTCAATTAGTACCACACAATACTTTTTTAAGTCAGTGTGTTTAGGTATAAACGTAATACCTATTGTAGGGAAACAATCTGTAATTAAAAATGGAAAATCAATGAAAATACTTGTTATATTTATGGTAGTGTTTTCGTTGCTTTATTCATTTATAGTATTCACATTCTCACCTAGTTACAGTAACGAGTTTATGTAATAATCTTTTACTCAGCAACACAACTTTATAACATCTCAATAATAGTAATAGTAACTTTTATAACTAATCAGGTTGATTTATTTATTCCTTCMTTTTTATATGGTTTACCATGTATATATGTAGTTGTGTTTACTTTTTATTTTATTTACAATCTTAACTGACATTTTATTGTTCAATATAAAATCTTAAATAACTTTACGTACCTTCCATATTTTAATGGCAATTTCTGGATTTGATTCGCGTATATTTTCTACATCTTAACATCTAAAAGCAATTATAATAAACTAAAATTTAATTAAAAATTGTGCATCTGAACTCTCACGAACAATTTAAGTTAATTTAGCTTATTTCGTACCTACGGTTATCTTTTGAGGCACAGCCATTTAACCTCTAATTATTGTTTACTTATTTTCTAGGATTTCACATAAATTGTTCAATGAACTCAAGCCATAGTTATTATAAAGTGCTATGAATGAATGAAWTGGTGATTGCAACTACCATTGCTGATTAATTTGCATGCGCATTACTTTAACTCATATATAGTTTTCTTTCAGAAACATAATTTTTGTTTAAAAATATCATCAGAAAAATACAGTAAAATCAGGGTTGCCAAATAAAATCAACTTAATGAGTCATATGACARTAACATTAACACTTAGCACTAAACTAACGGCAATAATAACGGTATTTTTTATGAAATTTACATTAATACAAAACAAAAGTATTTTCTGTTGTACATTATTAAATAACCAACCTCTTGCTGTGTTGACTAACTGGTTGAATTGATTAATATCCGAATCCGCACTATTAAAAACATAGTGTTTAAGAAAGCGCAAGTACCTCATTATGGCTTTGTTCTCACACGCTCATTCACAGCATGCTTTATATTTTCTCTGTTCACTTCCTCAAGATTAAGCATTCAAAGTTAAAACTAATTTTTACAATGATTGCAAAAAAAAACATTTACATACATAACAGGCACGTTCCCGTCCGTTCCCACGTAAGTTGGGTCTAAATAATCAGAACGGCTCCGAATTTKTATCAGGCCAATGATTTCTAGCGCTACAACAACAACCACATAACAGATACTGCTATTGATGTGTAAATTCAATTGGAACATTAGTGTTCGAACTTCTTTCCTAAATTGCTCTATCAACAGCTCGACAATTTATTTTAAAATTTGAAAATTTGGAATTCAGACAAGATATGAAATTACCCATGACCGATGACTTCAAAAGTAAAGATCATAACTGAAATTAAAAATCAATTGTTGATTTGTAGTTTTCTCAGTTTTTGTGCGAGTAATGTCGTTTGCTATAAACGTACGTAAATCTTCATTGCGGTTTGATTAAATCTTAACCTATGTAAATTWAAATACAAAGTTTACACTATCAACTTGTACACTTTTCTTTTTTAGTATATATGTATAAGTATCTATTTTGTTCTGGTAGTTGACGATATGATGCTTAGGATAATGGAGGAGCTTCTTTAACTAAGCACGATTGAGAATTGTTGCCTAAGCTAGAACCGTCCAAGCTGTCTAAATCAAGTGCCGTATTTATCATGGTCGTATTATTTAGCATACGTAGACGGTTTAGACCACTCATAGAGCTATCACACACTTTACCATTGGCAGATAAAAAACTGGAGTCTACGTTTTCTTGTGCAACAAATGATGCACTAACTGGGTCGTCCAAATCTAAATCGTCATTTAATAACGCTGATGATAACATTACACCGGATGATGAAATACTTTTCTGCGCTAATTGCTTATATTGTTTATTCATTTGTAGCGTTAATTCGTGCTGTTTTTGTTCGTCCATTAAATTGGAGTACACATGTAAACTGGTATTACTATCTGCATGTTTAGCACAGGGAGCACCACTTTGTAAGACGTTGCTATACACATTTTCTATTTGGGAAATTGGTTTTAACAAGTTGGATTTCTGTTTTTCATTTGTTGATTCAGTTTCTTCTCTCAAATCTACAGAATCTTTCATGTCTACACTGGCAGATAAGTTAACTGCATTTTCTTGCGGAAGATCGGGTGATTCTTTATCAAAACTTTCAATAGCCGAAACACTCGATGGTAATGTATTGCTTTTTGCAATAGCGGGGCCACTATCCGAATAAAATAAGTTATTATAGCTGTCCGAACGATTCTGGCGTTCGCGAGCTTGACTTGTAGCAGCGATTGCTGCCACAGCAACTACAACTTCCGATTTACCGACGATTTCAATTACATCGTCCGGATTGCAGTCGTTAGTGTCAAATGTATTTATAATATTATTGCTATCTGAGGAACTCGTTTGTACACGATCTTTATGGTGACGGAATTGCCGTTGCATTTGTGCGGTTTGTGTTTGCGGTACGTCCATCTGGGAAAGGGGAATTTCGTTATCTACCAAATGCGCAAGGCTATTGGAGTTTCCTGAAATATATTTTGAAAGCAAAAGGAATAATTTTTTAGTATTATAAAAATGTTAATAATGAAGTTGATTTTTAAAATAATATAAAACAAATCGTATATTTAATTAAGTAGCTCAAATGTTTTTAGTTTATGTAACAAAGCAAAATTAAATGTAATAGCTAAATAATATTAATCACAAGAAAAAGCAGTTCTTAAAGCTTAAAGCCAGTGGAATCCGATTACTTGAACATAAATGGTTACCAGAGATATTTACTATATTGCAAATATATAATACATACATAAATACATATTAGTCACGTGTAAGTCCAAAGAATAAATAATAACATGTAAACAAAACAATTTATTGCTTTGAAATACCATTTACCTCAATTTTACGAGACAAAATGTGTTGTTTTCAATTTTTTTAGATAAAAAAATTATGTTTAAATATTTATAAACATTTTTATTCTTTCAAAAGTAAAAAATTTTAATATTTTTTTAACCCAAATGAAAATTATATCTTACAATAAAATATTTTGTTGCCAGACTTTTTTAACCGACAAATGCTCCTTGTTTATATAAAAAATTTAAAATAAAATATATTATCGATATATATTTCGACATACAGTCGAATACATACAATGAAGTAAAAAGTATTCCAAGTTTCTAACATTTATATCTAGTAAATTTGTATATTATTCGACTCTAAAAGATATGATTGTCCTTGAACTAAAAATGGTTGCGAAATTAGAGGGAAAATAGTGGACCAYGTCAATGTAAATATGTCAATAAGTCAATATAAATAATTTGTGTATGTAAATATGTATGCTATGTACTATTACATTCTAAGGATGTTGCTATGTGTATTGAACTATGAATTTCATTAAAAACTATTGCTTAGATTTTTTACACTTCTCATAAAGCATGCACATGTTTGATTTAAAGCGAGTTTATCGCAAAACAGAAAGCGGAAATACCGTATTCGATTTAGACACTTTGTACTCTCTCACCGTCATCAAGTAATGGTTGAATCAATTCAGGAGCTTCAATTAATTGGGTTTTTCGTTGTAGGGTATTTCACCAAAAAAACACAAAAAATAAATTTACATATGTACAAGGGAAGAAAAGAAGGGAGAAAATATGRAATACATATTTCAATTTTATGTACCTTTCGGTTAAATAAAAAATTATTTCTCATATTTGTTGCATACAGACTCAAATGATATATGATAAACAAGAGCCAATATTTCAACAAATTTATGGTTATGGTATGGTGAGGGGAATGGTTTGCGAGATACATACATATACATATATACATAATCACTTAGAGAAAGTACATAAATGTATTACCGAACATCTAGTTTTCCCATTTCGTATTGTGTGATTTATTTAATATAAATATTTTGGTTAATAACAAAATCACTTCGATAATTCCGAAGTGGTTGCACCCTTCACACAATGAAAATTAAATGAATATTTCTGAAAATATTATCGTCTATACAAATTATACAGTAAATTCCATTTTATGAAGCAATTCATTAATTAATATTTGTATTTCTACAAAATATACATTTCAATTTGGTAWCGGCAACTGCCAAGAGTATTACTGTTCGATAACAATTACATTATTAAAATTTTATTCATTTCCAATAAAACTTATCTAATATTTTGACCTTAAAATTGTATAAATAAATAAGCCATGCCCCTGATATATTAGCGTTATATAATTACCCGAGACTTCGATAGAGTCAACATAATTTTCTTGTTTCTACTACATATTGTGTTGATTCGGTGTAATTATTTGATAAGTGTTCAAACGATTTAACAATAACAATACGCATACCGATATATGTATGTATACACGACTGCGTCTTGTGTGAAGGGCTGAAACAAAAGCTGAGCAAAACACTGCAATCGACAACTGCAGTGATCAATGTTTAAAATAACGTGCAAAAAAATCTCAGTTAATTGCAAAAGAGAGCACACAATTCATCAAATTTCTAACGCAAGTTGGCAAACTATGATATAAAGCTAATTTTTGCTAAACTTGAAGAAGAAAATCAAAATCTCAATAAAACTTTATATGCAATYATGTTTATATACTACCATAAACAGTAAATGAATAACAATATATGTAATTATTCGCAACTAACTGGTGTATATGGATTATTTCTTATTTATATTTCATCATTTCAAATTTTTTTTTAGTATATTACAGTTGAAAATATTAAACAACTCACCCAATCTAGTATTTTTCTTAGTTTTTATTGTTTTAAAGCGACGCGGCTTGTTTTGATTTGTCTCAACATTTATTTTGAGTAAATCAGTTTACATTTTTTTCGAAATGGTTTGCATATTAATACAAAATGACGATATGAAAGTACGAAATGTAAAAATAAAGAGAAAGAGAGAGATAATAAATAGTTGAACGAATATAAAAATTGTAAACGTACAACAACAACTAAACATAATGAATAAAATAATGGTTAATAATATTCAAATTAGCAGAAACAAATATGAGAGTTTGAACATGTTAAACAATTTCTCCACAGTTACAGTTTAACAGGGTCCTAGCTAAGCTGATTTGCATAAAGAACAATCATACAGAAATTTAAACCGAAATGTTCATTAAGTTCCTTGAATCTAAACACAATTGATCCAATAGGGAATCTAAACGTATCGAAGAATTATTGTCGATATTTATCTTGTCTCAGTAAACAATTGATGGATCGGATACTTTCCCAGTTTTTAACCTAATTTTAGTAACATAAAAAGGCTTTTATTAGGCATTTATGAGATCTTAAAAAAAAATTTGGTGTGACTAACTTTCTAATTTATGTGAAGATGTTATTTTATCCTTTAAAAAAGTTGTAACCTCTACATAGGAGATTGTGGTATGAAATCCGRTCGGAACAACATACAAAAAATTTTTTGATAATTTGGGTATAAAGTCTTTTCAAATAGTGGCTGTACCTCAGAGTGGAGATATCATAATCTTATGTAATTTCCTGTACCCTGTCCAGCACAGAGAAGAAACTTAGTCAAACACCTAACAAAGATCTTTTAAGGAATTATTGTAAACATTTTGAATAGTACATATAAAATATCGATTATAAAATCTGCAGAATGACCGTAACTAAGTAATAAAAAATGTATGTTAAATAAGTAGGCACTGGTCTTTCGAAAACACCTTCACAAAAAATCTATAAATTCTTTTGTTATTTCCAGAAGTATTGAGTTATAAATGAGTACTCTGTTATGTTAGCTTAATTGTATTTAAATAAATCAATATTATACATTTTGTGAATATTACAACTGATCATCCACTTTTTTAAATATTTGCGTAAAAGCCTCTAATTTTGCTTTTATTYAGTAACGTGTAAATGTATTACTATATTTAATCGGTTAATCGTTTAAAATCTTGTTTAACTTTATATCTATATATATTTTGAAGTCACTTGGGTTAGTAGATTTAGCAAAAATGGCAGTACTTTTATTCATTTCGGGATTTTTCGGTACAATATTTGTTCATAATGTTCAAAGGGAATGTGATGTATGATAATCCAAATATTTCGACAGAAATAGTAGCAGTTTAAAAAAAATCASAAAGAAAATTTCGGGAAAATAAAAGGATATTTTATTAGTTGCGACATAATATGTGAAAGTCTCAAAATTGTAAAGCGGGAACTCGTAAAAAATTGCCAATACACCCCATAGAACTTTAAAGCTTAAAACATTTCACAAATCTTTGTAAGTGTTTTTTTTTTTTTTTTTTATTTTTTTTTTTTTTTTTTTTTTTTTTTTTTTTTTTTTTTTTTTTTTTTTTTTTTTTTATTTGACAAATAAGGATTACTAAATAAGGATTACTAAGCAATTTAAAAAAAGACAGAATGTAGTCCAACATATTTAAAAACAATAATATAACAAGCGTATTTAAGACTGGCATGTTAAGTTTCTTCGCAGTTAATGATAAATTTGTTTCTACCATCTTCTTAATTCCAAATTCGTCTGCATATGTATGTATTATTATATTGTCGCCTATAGTGGACTTGTTTTAGTCATATTAAATTTCATTTTATGCAAGACAGGAATTATGTACTTTTACAACCTCATTATTAAAATGTTCGTACTGAAGAACTTGAAGTATGAGTTACCTATTCTTTGTATTTTCGTTGCTTTAAAAACTCTATTCTCATAACAATAAATATGTGTTACATTTTAATACTGACATCTGTGTTASCCCGTATTTTGAAGCGACATCAACAGTGCATATAACAGAAGCTAAAGTAAATCATGTATATTTCATACTATGATGAGTCACTTCCAGCAGCATCCTCTATTATGGAATTTAAATCTATATTGAACGAATATTCATATAAATTAGAATAACGGTCGCGCTCCTTCCACGGGGATCGATGATTCATATATAAGTTTCGTTTACTAACACGAAATATTTGACTATCCTTTATAGATTGGTCATCGTCACAGGGTTCACCACCGCCGCCGAAGTCACACTCACGAATAGTTAAACGATTTGTGGGTGATTTTAACTCAAAGAGGACTTCTTGATGTTTATAACGTGGCCTCATCGGGAGCGGTTGATAACCACTTATGTTAACTTTTTGCGAATCAACCGATTGAGTTGACTGACGACGCATACCGCGAATTTTATGGAATGGATAATTGCGCATTAAATTGGAATCAGTACTTCGTTGAGGCGAATAATACTTAAAATCGGTTGGCGCTGGAGGCTGTGGTGCAGCGGTATGTATGGTTGTCAAAGTTGTAGAGCTGGCCGAGTGGGCCGCCGTCGCTTGGAGTTGCAATGTAGATGGACGTTTTGCTGTGCTGCGCGCACCAGCAGGTATGGGTGTTGCCAACGTTGATACGGGAGAACCGATGATACTATTTGCTCCCACTGTTACCGCTAAAGATTGTGCTTGTGATGCTACAGGGTACATGGAATGCATATTTTGGGAATGGTGATGCAAAAGTGGAAGCGGAGAGCTTCCTGCATCGAAAGAAGGCGAAATTGGCAAATGAAGCGATCGCTTCAAATTTAAATGGTACGATGATATGGTTGGTGAATGAATGATTTGTGGAGTCGCAAGTGCGCTATGGCTTTCGTGGAGAATTTGTCGCTCTGGTTTTGGCTTTAGTAGTCGATTYTTAAATTGATGAGTAGCAGGGGGTAGAAGTGTTTGCAAAGAACACTTTTTATATTGTAGCTGCTGTGACTTACCGTTTTGTAGATTATCATAACTCCGTGGTCGATATATTCCATTACTAGCACCTAATGTTGCCGAAGAGGCATTAGACTACAATCATGTTGTATAAGAAAAGAAGGTGTAACGATCAATGTATTTGGTGCAAATGTCCAATCCAGTTGCGTGAAATTGCAGGTTGTGATACATTAGTTGCATGTGCAAAAAAGAAATTATATAATATTATATTTAAATTATATCAAAAAGGCATATGCGGAAAATAATTACAATATAATATAATATGATTTAATAGCTCACCTCTTCGTAAAGGCGGTTTTTAATATCATTGCCCCCAACGTTAGTGCCCGCACTTACTCCTGCAATTACTGGTTGGGCCGTAACCATTCCACTTGAACCTACGTGAGAAGCACTCATCACGTCGCTTAAAGGATGGCGTGGACTGGAATGTTGTTGCATTTGCAAAATATAATCATCCGTTGCAATACCCCGACTGTAAAACAATCAGAAAGTGAAAATAGAATCATAAAATATTTCATTTAAAGAAAAGTCGTCAACGAACCGGTCTATTAGTGATGGTGTCATTGGCCCGCAAAGTATATGACAACAATTTAGACAGATGTTTCCTCGCGAATATGGATTTATCGAACGCTGACCCCCTTTTGAAGAAAACGATCCTTTCAACTACACCCCAAAAGAAAGGCATTAATATCTGAATGTTCTTYATGAAATTATACTGACGTCTTCATTCGTAGTTTGATCACTGGTTGTCAGATAGGTATGAAATCCTGCCAAACCAATAACTGACCAAATCGAAAAGAAGCAAATGAACACAACAATCACAGTAAATGGCGCCTTTTTTATCACCTCAAATATTTCCTGTTCTGCCTTCATCACTGCATGAAATAAAAGTAAATGTCCGTAAATTTATGTTTGTGGTTTTATATTTATAATATACTTACATAAAACTAAATGAGTCACAGAACATGAAAATATAAATACCGCTAAAAATGCTAACGAGACTAGAAATAAATAAAAGAAACGATAATTTCGTTTTCCCACGCAATTACCAACCTAAAAAATATAGTTTAAATTAATTAATAATATAWTAACGAGTATATTATGAACACACTCCTCTGCTCTCTTACTCTTTTTCAAGCCAATCTCATGCGTATTAAATGATATTACATGATGGCATTTACACCTTTTTTTTAGTACGTTTCATCAATGTACGTTTCCGGAAATTATGTATATTCGTAATTTTAATTTTATAGGAAACAACCGTTTAAAAATTACCAAGAAATTTAGTGAAATCTGAATATAATTATAAAAAAGAGCGAATAAAGAGAGARGAGGAGCGATATCTTAAGCAAAATTATCAAGATTTATTGCTTACCCAGGGACAGTGGTGATCGAAYCGATCAACACAATTATCGCATAAACTGCAATGCGATGCACGTGGGGGTCGAAATATTTTACATGTAAAGCARTACTTCAATTTCACTGTTTGTCCTTTAACAAGGACCTCTTTTGTGCGTGGCGGTGGCCGATATGTRGGACTATTGAGAGAATTTGGCACTTCTGTAATTATATAAAAAATAAAGAAATAGAAAAACTGAATTTATGAACATTTTTCAAATCTTCTACCAATCTGCTTTTCTATATAGGCAGCCTCGTCGTGAGAAGCACGGGGTATAACACCAGGATCTGTAAAGGTTGTTCGTAGCAAGGAACTCATTGTAAAGAAGTAAAGCACTGCACCAACAATAGGAATGATAGGATTTATACGTGTAGCCAGAAACGGACAACTGAAATTTAACAAAATGGAGATTATAAAACCAATTTTCAAATATTCATGGCACATTAGGTAAAGGTAAAGACATATTGTGGTGGTAGGCTTCATTACACTTGGTATTGATCATATTAATATTTATATACACATATATTTTGAAAATTAAATTAGTTAACTAAGTTTAAGTTAATCTTCTCCTTATATATTAAGAACGAGCACTSTTTTTATAAAATAAAAGGTTGCAATTACATAAAATACTAGTACTCATCAAAAGTGTTTACTTCAAAAAGATTATGTGGCACTGAATTATGAACAAATGGTCCGTTCGCAACAAATCGGACTAATGTATGGAACGACTTGGCGCATTTTACTTCAAGATCTTAAATTGAAGGCGTACAAAGCMAGTCAGCAATCGAAACGCTCGAACGAATTTTCGAAAATTGAAATTAAATGCCAAAGAATGTTCTTTGGAATGGTAATAAACATCCCCATAAAGTTTGAAATTTCTGTGTTTTTTCTTTAAAAAAGAGGGAACCTCGAAATGGATCAGCCTTTTAAATCCATCGCTATTATTGTTGATGAAAATGAAAAAGTTAAATTTCCTTATATATTTTTAAAGGTCTTCGGCTTAAAATTGGTTCACTTATTATTATTCAGCGTAATTTATCCTTCTTAGTGACAGCGATACGTAGTCTAGTGATTATATAGAAGATAGAGATTGAGACTCGAAGGTTCTTATTTAATTTAAATAATACATCTCAACGATTTAATGATATTTTGGCAAAAAACTCAGCCATAGCCTGTGGTGACATATATGGGCGACTAAAAAGTTATATTCCCAATTTGACAATTTTAAGAAATGAGATGTATACCTTAAAGTCAAGTAAAATTTTGTTCCGATGTGTTGATTAGTACTTGACTTATACTCGTATACTGCAAAGTGAATCAGATGGATTTTTTATTGGCAATGCCACGCATTATGGTTCCGATGAAGCCCTTAAGTACAGTCTTGCCTATGAAACGTAATGCGTCTGTCGTATTTATTTAGTGAGTAATTGCACTTTTATGATATTTGATCGAATTTTACTCAGTCGTGGTCTCATTTTGTCTCGTAATCTTTACTCAAGTTATTCCAGAAAATCGGATGGACAGGCAGACATCCGGAATTCATAAAATCTCCTCATCCTGATAATTTTTCCTTCATACTCGTATATCAACATTCTATCATGATTAGTTTTAGGTGTAGTAAATAACCGCTAGATAAACAAAACTATTATACTCAGTGCCAACAAGTGCAAAATGTATCTTTCTTTAACTGAAAAAAACCCATGTATACATTTTTTACTATACACCAAAGCTAGATTTACTCAAAACGTTATTACAAGAACTAATTGTATGACACCTGTGAATTTTATCAGTGTCCTTTGAAGGTTATGTTTAGYTCCAAAACTGTGGACTTTATTTCTTCTCTAAAAACTTTTTAGAACCCAACCGTCAGCAATCATGTGTTTGGATGATGTATTCATAAGCTACAATTAAACCGCATTTCATGCCAAATATCACAAAAGAAACGCAAGGAGAACAATGGAAAAGCTCATAGGGACGGTTTGGTGCAGTCAAACATGCTTGCTCTGCAAACGCAAATCATTACATTTCATTCGCCGGGGATGGTATGGCTGCAATTGTATTGTAATATTCACTGGCAAAGGTTTTAAGAAATACATATGTATGATATACAAATTCCCTTATTGTCCAACCTACTTCGTATACACAGGTGTACTTCCAAAGGTTGATTACGTCCTCTTTTATTTTATATGATTATTATATTGGTTATGTTTGCTTGTCGATATGATTTTTGAAAAATTAGTTTACACATAATAGCAAGATACGAGTAAAAATAAATTCGTATTCAAATATACTATAAACAAGTAAGGAAGAGCTAAGTTCAAGTATAACCGAATATTCCATAACCTTGCAAATTGCAAAGATTAAAGCCAGGGAAGTACCTGCAGGTACATAAACCTTGTTAGTTATATGGGGTTTAGGGCGGTGAATTCAAAAATATTTATATTAGGTATATAAGAGCTTAGGGAACTATTAAACCGATTCAACGCAAGTGTAGCACGTAGACATTCTAAAAGTATTCTCTCTGATTTTAATTATATTTCTCACTAAGAAATCAACTATAAGGACTAAGTCCACATATTCAGTACCTAGGGTCTTGAAAAGTTTTGGTTCGATTTACGCAATTTTTGATCATAAGGTGACACACCTCAAATTCACTATTCGTGTTATGTTTTGTTTTGATWTATTATTGCATTATTGATTTGTGTACTGAAAAGAGAAAGTTTCCAATGCAATTTCAAATTATGTTATAAGAGAATTCCCGATTTCGCCCATTTTCACAATAACACTTACAAAATTTGGTTGACATCGGTCGGGCTGGTGTCGAGATATGTGATTTCATCTAAATGTGGGAGGTGCCACATTGTCCAATATTGACCCCGGGTCCATTAAAGCCCTCTTACATCATTTCGTGACGTACGGACAGACAGACAGTCACCCGGATTTCAWCTCGCAAACAGAAAATATTATAATTTGTGGACAATATGATTATACGACGTGTTGGGTCTTAATGGGCTTAAATATCTACACAATACATATCGAAAGTTATTACTTACTCAAATGCAAAAAACAGTGCACTGGTTCCCGTTATCAGTATGCAAGTTAAATAAAAAACCCCCGTGTGTGGTGCGGACATCAATAATCCATCGCAGTAAAATTTGTTGCGCCCAGCAAATAACTCCCATTTACGAGTTATCCTAGTGTTCGGCGCCATATTACCGCAGCAACAGCACAGTAAGTTCATTGATGTTCGTAAGTTTTGCTTCTTGCAAGCAATTTCTGCAATCCCGGCAGCCGATATTCGTATAATTTACCGAAATTTAACCTTACTAAGTGACAAAATAATTTTTCTCATTTGTCTTCGATGTTTATGTAATATTTCAATGAACTCTGCATTTATTTCCGTTTTAATACACAAGTAATATCACATTTATTGTCAGTATTTTAAAATGTAATATGAATATATATCATTAACACCTCAATATATGCATGTGTGTATATTTTTCATTTAATWTCTTTTTTAATTATCTCACTGTTATTTTCGCTTCCATTTTGCTCTAGCCATAATTTTCGTTTCCTTATTTCGCCATTGCCAATATGGACGGCAGAACATTATAAGAAAGTGGCTATTCGTTGAATTGTCTCTATGCTGAAGTTAAATAACATCTCATACGAYCATCTCTTATTGTTCTGAATCGTTTTCTTCTATGCATTTTAATTGACCTTTTAATTTCCTGTTAAATACAAAATTTTATATACATATACGTACATTAACAATTTATCCATAAAATACGGATACAATATATTCGAGGTTTGACCAATATAAATAAWATGTTATTAATTTTCTATATAATAAAATAAAATAATGTTTCCCTTTTTGTAAGCAGTGTATAAATACTYGAMATTTTTTTTGTTTAGATAAGATAACTCGCTGCCAATTTACCATTCGATATTTCATTAGTACATGAACTTCCATTAAATAAACATTCACGTGGGATATACATACAATATCTATGTAATTCTATATTAATTCTTTACGAGGTCGCCAAAACAATGATTGTTAATGAGCAATGACCATCTTATGCAAACAAAAAAATACACCAATTTTATATGTATTCGACGTGCCATATGCCTAATCTTATCATTTATTGTAAGAAAAAACGAAAACGACTTGATTTTATCTGCATTAATCGAAGTCGAATTTCGCAACTCCACATGAATGTTTCGATTTCGCTAATGTATTAAAAACCAAGAGATATTGCATCGGTACTAATGTACTTTGAGTCCTACATGTGCCAATGTCAATGCATATGAACTAGTATTTACATGTGTATGGTATATATGTATACATATATAAGTGTATCTATCTATGACCGCATTTACCACTTATTGGCCGAATTATGGAAGTTTTTTTTACATTCACGGCGTGCATAGAATTCCTGTTGACATATCATCGCATGCACGTGACAGCACAAGATATGAAACTCAAAAGACTGCACGTGACAAGGCACACAATTGTCCTTGTTTTAGATGCTGAGAGTGAATATGTATTAAAAGTACACAGTTACAAACAAATATGTATACTTATATATTCACGATTTGCAATAATATTAACATATATGTATGTACATACGCAGATGTGTTTAAATTATAAGAACAATAAAAGCGACCATGGAAATTCATAAAAAAAAATGTTTGCAAAAGTATTTTATTTAAACCTCTTTTTGAAAACCATTTGTGTATGGTTAGAGTTAAAAAAAGAGGGCGTTTTTGGTTAGTGTAAGCCCGAAAAAATCTTTTTGAAAAATAAGAACAAATCGGAAAAATTTTCGGAGATATAGCTATAGGTGAACTTGAGCCGCGTTTTCTTCGAAATTGTCTTTTTTAAAACGATATCTGCGATTTCTCAGGTTGATTGGATCTATTTACCTTAAAGGGATATATGGGTTTACGGGTTTCAAATATCGATTTTTTTTTTATTGTCTTATTTAATTCTACAACACCTCTGGAATATTGGCCTAAATTTTCAAGTTAATCCGAATTTCAGATTTGCAGCCGCGAGAACTTGTACGCTCSAGACTAGCTAGGCTAAGTGCGCCGTCTTTAAACGCGTTTTCGAAGTGGGTTGCAAGATTTCTTAAAAACTACTCAACCGATCTTCATGMAATTTTACAAACATCTCTGAGATACAATTCTTAAAGACTTGGACTAAAAATTTTTTTTCGATTACAACTATTTGAAAGGTAACACTAAAATTTGAGTTTTTTTGCAAAACTTTCATCCAAAAATCAAATTTTGACATTTTTTTCCTTTGTTCAAGTTCTAAGTTAAGGTTTTAATTTAAACGTATTTTTCAGATTTTTTAGATGATCCTGTAAGGAGTTATCCTGCCAACGCAGGCGCATCTTTTCTTTCGAGGGGTCACCGGAAATGGCATCGCCTTGGCCGAGTTTACCTTTTTCCTAAAATTTCTGAGTTTCTTTGTTAATAGTGTATATTTTTAACAATAAAAAACTCTAATAAAATAATTAATTTTTATATGAGAAAAAAAGACTGTTTTTACCCAAGGAAACTGATGTAACTCCTTAAATTTTTATAGACCRAAAACTGTTTTTTTCTGGCAGATGCCATTTCATGATTTTTTTTTTAATTTTGGCGTAGAATTAGACTTAAAAACATTATTCTAGATAATATTTTTTTTTGTTGTTGTAGACTGCTAGAAGGGTTAAAATAATGGCAATCGTCACGGGCCAACTTGATCAGCTSTTAGTTTTTGAAACTGTTTACTTTTCGTTTGTTTCAATAATTAATTAAAAGGAGTATGAAATAGCTAAGTTCGGGTCTAACCTAACTTTTCATATTCTAGCAATTTTCAAAGATCAAAACCGAATAGCTCAATCTCAAAATCATTCAGATCATTTAAAATTACTAATAACTGTAAAACTAGATTGATGTTATGTATAAAACAATAATGGTCGGAAACTCAAAAACTAGTTTTTGATAACTTAATATCATTACTTCCTAAAATATACATATTTACGAGTTTCACACATTTCAGAAAACATATTTTATTAAAATTATAAAACTAAAATCAAAAACAGGTTTCGATTTTAAAATCAATAAAATATCAGAATTTCAGTAGGAAAAATAAATGATGATGTAGTAGAAACAAATTAATTCTTTATRAAAACTGCGACTTTCTTCTAACAAATATGAACCACGTTAAAGAACACAATTCCATTTGTAATAATACAAGTTCACATTTTTTTATTAATCATACAATATATAATGTATTTATCAGACTTAGATGATAATCGCTGTATATACAAAAATAGTCAGGAGAACGAGATGAATTGAACTTCGACATCCTCTGTCGGTGCAAACGATAACCTGAGCCAAATATCAGAAATCGGACGATTGCCAAACTAAAAGAGTAAAACTATAATGTGCGGGACTTTCCGATTTCTATGCCCGGGATACCATACCTCAAAGGCACTATTGTCGAAAGTTTCATCCGAATATATTAAGGCTTGATTTTAGCTCTGCAATATAAGAATTTCATAATTATGCAACCTATCGATGTTGATAGAAATCGGTCAAACAGGTTCCATGATATGGGTTTCCACCTAAATGTGGGAGGTGCCACTCGTATTGTCCAATTTTGAAAGTGGCTGGGTGTAAAATGTAATGTTTATTATCGATTTGCTTATTAATATATCGCGTTTTTTGTAATTTTTAACAACCACCTTAAATGAGAAGAGGGCGGCGTACGATAATTAAAGTTTTATATCTTAATTTAGTGATTAGTTATGACATWTTATATTATATATTTTTTCTTCAGTAAGGTTTGCCATTTCATCATGGTGATAAACGATTAAACAACCAGTCGAAGCTATCAGGRGTGTTGTGGAATCCAAGACAGAATTGCTTAACTGTCAGAATTGCAAACCAATTCTGATTTTCAACCGTGTCACATAATCTCGATTTTCGTCTTTTCGATCTTACGCAAAACCAATATTCGAATCAGCTGTTTACTAATATGACAAAACTTGCAAATGAATACATTTGGAAGCAATCCTATAAAAGTTTTTAATTAGCTCCGAATTAAGGATAGATTTTAAGAGATAAGATTTATCGAATGAATAAACCCACATTTGGGTGTTAAATTGCGTTTATTACGTTTTGTAAATCTTCTTTGAGTTTGCTTTAGAAGCTTCAAAATATTGATTTTTTTTATCTTTAAAAATTATCTAAGAATATTTCCCCATACTTATAGATGGGAATTCGAAATATTGTCGAGCTAGAAGGGAAATAGTGACCGAGCGTCTAGCAGATATACTTATGAGCGCCTGGGCAGAAAGCGAAAACTTTGACGCGCGATTTCTCGGTTTTTCAGTTGTACGATTTCTCTTAATTTGCGGGCAGGATAGAAAAAAACTAAACGTCGTATGGAATTGGGGCAAAGTTTATTATCTTTGGCATTAAATTATCTTCTCTTTAAACTAAAAAAAACCAAGAAATGTTAAGTATAAGCATATGTGTAAAATAAATTTTTTTAGTCAAAAAACACTTTTTTCAAATTTAAATTTTTTTTTATAATGTTACACTTTTTTTTAAATTTTCCTAGTTTAACTTGAACATAAATTAATAAATAATATGAATCTCTTTGAATTTTTTGTTTGCGACAGAAATCGCGACCTGCATTCTGCCCGCCGTGTGGCATATGCGCATGCAAGAAGCGTCTGGCAATTGCTTCCCAAAGGCAAAATATAAAAGATTTCGTAATTTTTTCCGTAAAATTTGAGGATGATGTTTAAATTAACTATAAATAACCCAGAAATTTCGCCTTAATCAGTTATTTCTTTCCCTATCAAAAAAAAAACTCAAAAAAATTGATTTTTTTAACTTCTAAGGCAGGCTCCTCCCCTAAATATCAGCAATTTTTTTTCAAAAACTCAATAATTGAGACTTTCGTGTTTTATACTTATGTTTTCCCTTATAGAAATAAAGATAAATTAATTCGAAATAATAATATAACTTCAATTTCAAATCTGTGAGCGACTATCTTCTTGCTTGTTTCTGATAGCCAAACCGATAATGATCCGAATTTCCATTGAAACATCATCTTCAGCGATTAGGCTCATTTCTGATTGAATGGCTTCGTCAATAAGCAAAATATGCGTTATTGATCAGGCAGCAATTCACAAGTATTCCATGAGTCACCATTGCACCAAATTACGATTTGGTGCGGTTTATGAGCCGGCGGCGTCTTCGGCCGTACTTGTTCCGCAATGATCACGACCGGCACGTTACTGTAAATGGGAATCRCTACGGCTCAACGATAGTCGAATATTTTTGGCCCGAATTGGATGGTATGGACTTGGACAATATGTGGTTTCAATTGGATGACACGGCGTTTGTGTACGTGTTATCTCACGAAATGGCCCAGTCARTTGGCGATTTGAAACCGTTAGACTATTTCTTGTGGGGCTACGTCAAGTCTCAAGATCTATGATAACAAGCCAGACACGATTGATGGATTTCGTAAGAATATCGAACGTGAAATTGCAGCAGTATCGCAAGATTTATGCTTCAAGCCCGTCGAAAATAGGGTTCAGCGTCTGCAAACGTGCCCGTGGTGGCCATGCAAAAGAAATSAAGTTCCATAGATAATGGCATCGAATTTCCTTTCACAGGAATAAAGAATTTCATTGATTACCCAAACCGATTTTGTTTTATTAAAAAAAAAACTTTTGTAGCGCTCTTATTGAAAAACCCGTTATAACCCTACATCTAACTCCAATGTTTATAGGTGATAGAAGGTAAAGCCTCCCAGCTACAAAAAGAAAGCTTGATCAAATAACGGTGCCYGGTGCCAAAACTTCAAGAGGTAAAGGCAGAATCTACCACAGGTGACCGGAGTGCAGCACTTCGTTCAACGAGAACAATTCACACGTGCCCATGGCAACGCTGGAGGTTATGTTACAACTCACGCCGTTCCATATAATAATTAATGAAATAGAAAACATACCACACTGCACAAGACAGAAGAGGAGTGTGGAAAAGATAAGTAAAGTCGAATGCTTTAAGTCTACAATTAAAGTACTTTCAGTTTGCAACCGAGTTCACCTTATCTGAGTGTAGGGACATAAAAGGAAAGCCGAAAACGAACTCGCAGACAAATTTTCCAGCTCTTCATTGGCTTCTAGAATGGTGAGACCGAAASCCTATGAAAGGGCTATTCCACTAAGGATGGAAGAGTGAGCAATGGCAGCAATTTACAGTCAAGCGCTGGTCAAAGCTGCTAATGAAAGGTCGCAGGCCGCGGTGTAAAAGTCAATTTCTTCTACAAGATGCGTTCGAAAGTAAACAGGACTTAAAAAATAGAGGAAATGGTTTTTTCCGCAAAATCAATTTATTTTATTCAAAATAGTCTTCATCTGTTTCAATTCAGCTTTTTGCACGGTCCAAAAGCATGTCGAACGAGTGTTTTAGCTTGTTGGCCGATATGGCCGCCACTATGCMGGTGCAAGCCTTTTGAATGGCCTCTACGTCTGCATAACCCTTTCCTCTTATGGGCAAATGCATTTTTCCGAAAAGGAAGAAGTCGCACGATGAATCCAGGAAGTGTTTAATTGGTGAAATATGATATTTTTAAATAATCGGTCRATCGAATGTTGGATTCTGAGCAATTTTTGGTCGTCAGTCAATTTGTGCGGAACAAACCGTGCCCACAGCTTTCGTAAGCCCAAATGTTCGGYCATGTTTTGGAGATGTTCAATTCCATTTCCATGAATTTCAATGATGATTTCGGCTGATTTTTAATGAATTCAAGCACAGTTTCGATGACATTTCCGGTGATMACGGATTTTGATTGGCTCTTTCTTTTGATTGGTTTCAACGTTTTCAAAGTGGTCGGGAGGACATAAACGACGATCAACATTATTTATGTCCTCCCGACCACTTTGAAAACGTTGAAACCACTCGTGCACTCTGCTACGGAATAGGCAATCATCRCTATAAACTTGTTTTATCAATTTAAACGTTTCGGTAAAAGTTTTACCAATTTTAAAACAAAATTTAATGWTAGCGTTTTCGCACCGATCACACAAACATACTGACACTTGAAACACAATAACTTCACTTGCAATCAATGAAATGTCATGAAATTCTCACTGGACAACCGATAAAGGTAAAGATTCTAACGTACCAGATATATAGATGACAAAACCAGGGGGCTCTAGATTCAAAAAGTCCTGTTTAGTCCTTGTACTTCAAACGCAGGCTGACAAAAAAAAGCAACATTTTCACGTATTGCATTAAAACTAATCTCATTATCACCTTCAAAATACGCTTTTTTTGAGTCAATACAAACTTAATACAATYTTTCATACACATTTTATAATCCTCGGCCGGGAGTGAGTGCCATCAACGAATGCCTTTTAATAGCTTCAGTAGACTCCGCCGCGCATTACCCGACGAAAAAATGCATCTCAAGCCGCCAATCAAATTTGTGCAGTTTATAGACCCTATAGTTTCCATTTAGTAGTGGTGTAGAGGTGGTCGAAGATGCGCCACGCTCCGGAAGGCTTGTCGTCGAAAATTGCGATAAAATCGCTCAATTGGTCGAAAGAGACCGGCATAGTAGCAGCCGTAGCATCGGTCAAGACCTGGGCATGAGTCATCAAACCGTTATAAACCATTTGAGCTCGATGTATGAGTGCCACACGAATTGACGCAAAAAAAATCTTTGAACGTATCGACGCAACAAAATCGACCCGTTTTTGAAGAAATGGTGACTGGCGATGAAAAGTGGGTCACTTACGATAACGTACGGCGCAAACGGTCGTGGTCGAAAAGCGGTGAAGCGGCCCAGACGGTGGCCAAGCCTGGATTGACGGCCAGGAAGGTTCTTCTGTGTGTTTGGTGGRATTTGCAGGTAATAATCCACTATGAGCTACTCCCCTATGGCCAAACGCTCAATTCGGACCTGTACTGCCAACAACTGGACCGCTTGAAGGCAGCACTCATGCAGAAGAGGCCATCTTTGATCAACAGAGGCCGAATTGTCTTCCATCAGGACACCGCCAGGCCACACATATCTTWAGTGACGAGGCAAAAGCTCCGGAAGCTCGGATGGGAGGTTCTTTTGCATCCACCGTATAGTCCGGATCTCGCACCAAGTGATTACCGCCTGTTTCTGTCCATGGCGAACGCGCTTGGTAGTCTGAAGTTGGCCACAAGAGTCCTGTGAAAATTGGCTCTCCGAGTTTTTTGCCAATAGAGAAGCGAGCTTCTATGAGAGGGGCATTTTGAAGTTGGCATCTCGTTGGGAACGCGTCACCGAAAAAAATGGCGCATATTTGACTTGAATCGCATTATTGTAACCAATTTTTTGAACAATTGAAAATTCAATCAAAATACCTCAAGACTTTTTTGACAACCTATTATATTAGATATAATAAGTTCACAAATGAGGAAGAAGGAAGGGCTAAGTTCGTGTGCAACCGAACATTTCACACTCTTACAACGTGTAAGAATTACGCAAACGTCAAACTAGCTACCAGTCGAAATACTCGAACGAGAGGTATAATCTTCAAAAAATTAATGCCCAAAAATGTTCTTTCGAATAATAATAAAAATTCCCCATTAAATT